AGATCTGGAAAGTAAAATCTCATCTCTCTCATTTCACTAATGTCCAATCATTCAGAACTATTTCACACCAGCAGGGCTTATTGTGAAAAGACGTCTCCAGCTTATTAAACACTAGAGGCCCGATGCACGAAATTTATGCAAGAGTAGGCCTTCACAGCCACGATGGCTGCCTGGATCCCTCCCTCGCAGCCACGGCGGCTGCCTCGATCCAGCAGCTGCAGGCCCGGCTTCATCCGGAAGGTCGTCCGGAAGGACGTCCAGTCTAATTAGCACATTGCGCTTTTATTTTTATAGATTGTGACCGGTCTGACAAAGCCCAGCTCTCCAAGCTGCAAAGAGTGCTAATGTCAGTAATTAGACAAAAATCACCCCACTGCCTCCCCGTGTGACTGACAGGATTCTGAACCTATTGCTCTTAAATCCTAGGAACCTGGAAGAAAAGGAAAATAAAAACCTAGTTGGGGTCAGAAGTCCCAAGTTCTAGTCTCAACTCTTAGGTTTTCTGGGCAGATAGATTTTAGGCAAGTCACTTTTCTTTCTGGACCTCAAGTGCTCATTTGTCAAATGCAGAGGTTGGAAATTAAGTAATCTCTAGTGTATCTTCCAGTTCTAATGGGTTGATTCTATAATTAACTCATGTCTACTGGGAAAGCATTATAAGCTTTTATAAATGATTGTGTGTGTTGGTTGTGTGATTATTGAATACTCTGTGAATTCCAAATCCAGATTTCCTCTGCCATTCAGCCTCATTGTTGTAGAAATAATATAATAAGGAAATATTCATTATAAACACAATTTTTAAATTTCAAAAGCCAACTTTGGAAAAAAATCTAGCTTTTCTGTTGTGAATTCCCCAACCATTGTTATTGGATGTAGATGATATGTGTTTGGCTTAAAGACATTAATTATATCCACATCATTCACCTTGTAAATGTATTCTCCCCTGGTCTGTTATAACCCAACCTGCAACAACAGGTTGCTATAATAGAGCGTTATCAGTGCGAATTTAGAACACATTTGTATTCACCTCAAAAGCTTATATATAAAAAATTGGGGTCCTGGTCAGTGTGACTCAGGTGGTTGATTGTTGTCCCACGTACCAAAAGGTCACTGCTTCAATTCCTGGTCAGGGCACATGCCTAGGTTGCCGGCTCAATCCCTGGTAGGGGACATGTAGGAGGCAGCCGAATGATGTATCACTCTCACATCAATGTTTCTCTCTCTCCCTCTCTCTTTCTCCCTCTCTAAAATCAATAAAAACGTATTTTTTAAAAATTAGTGGTCCTATAATCCTGAAAATATTACATAAGTTATAAGATCATTAATTTTTATTTTTCATTGGGAAATCATCAAGAGGTTGTTATTGTCTTTTAAGGATTCGCTTTTCTGCCCTAGCCTGTTTTGCTCAGTGGGTAGAGTGTTGGCCTGGGGACCGAAGGATCCCAGGTTCAATTCTGGTCAAGGGCCCTGGGCACATGCAGGAGGCAACCAATCGATGTGTTTCTCTAAAAATCAATGGAAAAATATCCTCAGGTAAGGATTTAAAAAAAAAGAATTCCATTTTCTTATTTTTCTTTTTTCAATATATTTTTATTGATTTCAGAGAGAAAGGGAGAGGAAGCGAGAGACTGAAACATCAATGACAAGAGAGAACCACTGATTGGCTGCTGCCTGCACGCCCCACACTGGGGATTGAGCCCACAACCTGGGCCTGTGCTCTGACCATGATCTCCAGGTTCAAAGGTCGATGCTCGACCACTGAACCACGCCAGCTGGGCCAGTTTTCTTTATTTACATTTTCTCAGGGAGATATGGCCAGCTTTGCCTAAATCATGAAATGGTTCTCTGTTATCTCATTAGCAACAATTAAATGCTGCTTGAGCATCTATTTTGGCAGAGTTGTGTACTAGGTAGTAAGATGACTAATATAGGTGACATAGTCACTCTACATAAATAGTTTCTGCTCCATCTGGTGAAGTAAGCCATCATTTAGGTCCACAATCATTTTATCAAAAATGGGCAAAAAGCCCTGACTGGTTTGGCTCAGTGGATGGAGTGTTGGCCTGCGGACTGAAGGGTCCCAGGTTCGATTCCGGTCAAGGGCATGTACCTTGGTTGCGGGCACATCCCCAGTAGGGGGTGTGCAGGAGGCAGCTGATGGATGTTTCTAACTGTCTATCCCTCTCCCTTCCTCTCTGTAAAAAACCAATAAAATATATTTTAAAAAATGGGCAAAAGCTCCTTTGATAGCAAATGTGTCCTAAAGTCTTACAAAGCATGAGCTGAACCCACAAGGCTATTTATAGTCTTCACTTGTTCCACTTTGTGTTTCTTTGCAGAATTTATTGCATTTTATTTATAGGGTGCTCCGTCCACCCACCCAGATCTCAAAAGGAGTGTTATGGAAAATCATCCCCAAGTCTATAAATTCTAAAATATATGTGGCCACAAGAGTTTCAAATATGAGATTATGGAACCTTACAACAACTAGATTGTCAACGTGGTGACTGTTAACTTAATGAGCAAGTGCCTTGAGATTTAGAAGAGGGTGGACTACTGAAATCTCAGCAGGTTAGGGAAAACTTCCTGCACAGATGGCTGTTGGCTGAGACTTGAAGGATGTCCACTGTGTGGCACACTGCAGAGAGTGCCATTCCCACTGTAGCCTGTGAATGGCACCCTGCAGATGCCCAGTGTCCAACGGGGTGACAGTACCAGGTGGAAGAGGTTTCTAGATAGGGTAACCAGCACTCCAGAGAAGGCACTGAACATGGTGGACCCAGGGGTCCAAATTAACCAGTTGCAGCCAGATCAGATGATAGGTCGGTAAGATGCAAAGTCAGACTCTGTGCTATCCTTTCCATGAGGTCATGTGTATAAGCAAAATTATATCAAAGGCCCTATGTGGCTATACACATTACAAATACTGTAAACTTTAGCCCCCTCCGCATATCACAATCCTTCCTTCTTTTCAAAGAAAAGTGGCTTGGTACAATGTATGATCAGAGAGGGATTTTTGAAAAATGTATTATATAAGCTATCATGTTGCAAGTCCTGTTAGGCAAAGGTGTTCCAGAAGAAAGAAACCTGATCATTCTGAACTTTTCACTGTGTGCTTTTCCTATAAAATAAAAGCCAAATTGGGTTTACACACTAGCAGGTTGAGTATGAGCATGTTTTAAGTTTCACATACTCTCTAACAGGGCCTCCTGGCCTCAAACAATTTTAATCTGCTGAAATAAGAGCTTGATCAACAACCTGAGTACAATAGGTCAGAATATTTTGGCTGTAAAGGGGGGAAACAGAACTATCTGAACTTTTGTTCTATTTATCCATTCATTTATTCATTCAACAAATATACATATTTGTGTAATTATGTATATGGCACTGTGTTAAGTATAGCTGCAGATTAGAGGTATGGCAGGCAGCTAGTATTTCAAAAGCAGAGAGAAAAGAAGCATTAGGATAGCTATACACAAGTGAACATGTGAGGAGGGCAGTGAAGACCATCAGAGCATGGGGGAGGGAGATGATTTCCAGTTGGTGAGGGAGAGGGCAAGGAAAGGCATGAGGGAGGAGGCAATTTCTGAGCTGGACCTCAAGGATACATTTAGATCAAGAGAAATGAGACTGATAAGCAGAGATGGAAAACGAAAGGAGATCAAGGCAGACTACTAAAATGCACGTACAGCATTCTTGAACTTGCCTCTGACCTTGCCCTCAAGTTGCTTATGTTCTAGCAGCAAAGATGAGACATGGATGCAGTGATAACTCCAGGCAGGCGGTGAGAAATTGCCTGCAGCTGCTTGGATCTCTGGGTTTAGGGCAAGCTCTCTCAGCCAGAGGCGGAGTCTGAGCTTCATTTCTGCCTTACTGAACCACCCAACATATTGAAATAATGAAAATGGGAGCTTTCTGGAGCAACTGTCTGTTGTTATACAATACATCTATTTCCTTTTGTTTTGGAGAACAGCCTCTTAGGGGGGAAAAAATCCAAGGAGCTGTGGGACAAACATTCTTCTCCCTGTGTTCTGATTGGCTGGGGTCCAGGGGCCAAAGGGCATAGATTCATTCAACATGGAAATAATTCAAGAGCAGAAGCTTACATTTTTTTTAACTAGTCCCCAGCCTGCAGCTCAGCCCTCCCTGCCTTCAATGGGCAGCTGAGAAACCTCCTTCAACCCTTCTTCTCTTAACTGTCAATGAAAGGCACCAGCTGTGGGGAACAGGGAAGACAGACGTGAGAACATCCCAAGCATGAGCCTTCTCTTTCTGACCTTAGCAGAAACTTCCAACTGAGGTTTAAAAAGTTAAAATGTGAGCGTACAGCAGCCATGAGAAGACGAAGTGTTATTTCCAACTTCAGGGAAAACACTGAGGCCTCGGGCAGCCCCAAGAGACACAATCTTCCCAATTCTTTCCAGTACTTTTTGTCTCAATCTTCCCGACATCAGTTGGGGCTGGCAGGAGACAGACATCTTGAGTCCAACAGCAACATGACATTCCTTTCTTTTCCATCATTCCATGGGAGTTCCCTCAGGATTTGGGGAAGCTGGGGCTGCCAACTTTTGAAGGTACTTCTAAGGCAGCCTATTGTGTGAACTTCTGCCCTGTGCTTGCAACAGAGAGGAAATGTTGACTTTTCAATTAAGCCTTCAACCACTTCTCAAAAGAAGCTGCTTTTCCATTACACAGTGACTTTAAAGTGAAGTGCCCATGGAACACAAGTGCTATGGCTTCTGGTTTCCTATGTTGCCTGGTAAAGAGTGAAACCCGCTAATTGGTGAGCTAGGGAACTCCTCAAGCACAGAGTTCACTTCCAAAAAATGCGGTCCCTGGACGAGCCACATCAACAATTGCCTAACAGTTGGAAATGCAAATTCTCAGGCTCCATCCCAGACACACTGAGTCAGAAATTCTGGGGGTAGTACCAGGAATCTATGGTCTAAGGTGATTCTGATTTCACCCAAGTTGGGAAACCACTTCAACAGAGGGTTCTATTGCTGTTGAAGAGTTTGCTGAGCACCATATAGTCAATTAAGTAGGCTAAAAGCTGCAGCCTCCTTTGGATGAGAGAGAGAGAGAGAGAGAGAGAGAGAGAGAGAGAGAGAGAGAGAGAGAGTGTTTAACATAAGTGTCAGATCAGAATCACTGCTCTGATTGAAAAAAGAAAGAAAACCCTATGGGACTGAAAAAACAGAGCTGATACTGGGGGTTATTAGAATAAGAGGACTAAGGTTGACAGTGGCCCACTCTGAGCCAGGGGCTATGGCTTTCTTTCCAGATCTTACAGAGACCTGTTCATTTTTTTCATGGGTCTTTGGGAGGTTTTATTATTTTCTTTTACATATTAAAAAGCTTTCAGTCATCGGAGCACTGAATGTCCACTAAGGGCCACAGCATTCTTGTTTTCCTTTTGAAGCTTTGTTCTTCTTCCAGGAACATGTAGAAGAAGACAGAGCCAGCATTTACCCGTCTGTATTCACCAACTCTTCCAAGGAGATGATGTGCTTTCCGGACTTCCCGTACCCTGAGGATTACCCCAACTTCATGCACCATGGCAAGCTCCAGGAATACATAAGGACATTTGCTGAAAAGAAGAATCTTTTAAAATATATACAGTTTGAGGTATGAGCCTTGTAACTTGTGCTGTTGACATCAAAATGTGTATGGGTTAGAGAGAAAGCAAGGGCACAGCACTCACCTAGAGAAATCAGAGCCAAATGGTTGGACACCGCCCCCACTGGAGGTAAGCTGTGTTGGTGCAGACTGTAAAGTATTCATGCATTATTGATGTGTTTTGTTTTGTCCTTGTCCCTAAACATGTTCCCCATGAATCTCTGAGAGCTGTGAAAATGCCACAGGAAATGCTGTCACAGTGTGCATTCCACCCTCGTGCTCTCATATTTTAGCAGCAATCTCAAATTCTCTAGTTCTTATTTGTGTCAATACTTTGTGGCTCAAGAAAGCATGGCATTCATTAGAAATTCTTCCATTATGAAGAAAGTAGCAACTTAAATGAATGATTAATACAGTTTTTTCCAGCATTGTCCACCCACTTAGCTCCTTAGACCAGGAGCCTTGGGAATTATGGCACCGAGGCACTGACTCTGTAAGTAACATCAATGCTTTACCTGTGTTTAGAACTCTTAACCTCAGTTCTTTACTGTTAAATACAGAGCACAGATACATCAAAAAACAATCAGAAAAATTATGATGTTGGATTACATATATAATTTTATTTGTTGTGTCAAATAACAGTAAATAAAATTATATTATCTATTGTCCCAATTATGATTATTAATTATAATAAATGTTATAAATTAAAATTAATTAATTATAATAAACATGATTGCAATTGTATATAATATTTGATTTTTACATATACTTACATAATAATGATACTGTGAAAGTGGCTAATATTTCCAAAGGAAGAGTAGTATCTATTCAGAGCAAAGGAGAGACTGTCGTGAACCCTAAGACATTCTCGTACATATGGAACAGATGGGAAGTGAGAACAAAGAGGAAGAAGTCATGAACGTCGTGGAGGATGGCAGACTGCAAATGGCGTTTTCCTCCAGAATACCCACTGTTAGATATCCCAAATTTACTAACTTCTTGTCAAAAGAGTAAAGATACCCCAGTAAGGAATTCTCCCCGTGAGATTTGCAGATTCACTGTGACTCCTATTTGAATGTCTTCCCATATATGTCTCAATGACCAGGAGAGCTCACAACAGTTATTTCCTCCACAGAAACACGGCTAAAATGTTAAATACAGAATTAAAACTAGAATAAATTTCTTTCTGATTTTCTTTAAGACCCTGGTTACTAGTGTAAAGAAATGTCCCAGCTTCTTAGTTACTGGCCAATGGGAAGTTGTTTCAGAAAAGAACGGGAAGCAGGAATCAACTATTTTTGATGCTGTAATGGTTTGTTCCGGACATCACGTGTACCCCAATCTGCCAAATGATTCTCTTCCTGGTAAGTTTGGGAAATATGTAATAATTTTGGGACTTACACACAAACATCAATGTTGAAATAGATCTTTCCATAGATTGTATATTGATTATTCTTAAGGTCTCAAAGATTTCAAAACAGAATTTTTAAGTTTGATGTTATGTGAAATGTAGTAATAATTGGCCTCCTGGACCTCTATACTAAATGGATCAAGGACCTGTAAGTCAGAGTTAAGATGAAGACACAGGTCATATCTTAGACTCGAATGTAAGTCCTGACAGCACATGGGATCTCTGAGTGAAGTGATACATTCACAAAAATAGAGTCCAACTGCAAAATTGTTTGAAGAAAGTCATTTTCTTATTTATAACATAAACACACTTGTTATTTATAGAGGAAATTTGGGTTTGCTAATTTCATATATATCCACATTTTGCAAATTAACTTTAAAATTCTCAGTGTGCGTGCGTGTATGTGCGTGTGTGTGTGTGTGTGTTGGCACACTCCATTACTATACAAAAGTAGCAAATGTCAAATAATACAATACATAAACAGCCTTTCTTCCTTCCTTCCAACAGAAACACATGTCCACTCAAAAATATTAGAGTTCCCAACTCAAGGCATGATGTTCATAGGCCAAGATAATTAAAAGAGTAGAGATTCTGGGAAAATAGGTCAAAACCACTAATGTTAAGAGGCAGTATATATCCTTTAGGCTTACAATAGTGTAGGCTTAGAACACCTGGCCTCAACTCCTTATTCCACTGGTTCCTTACCACGTGAATTTAGTAAGCCACTTATTTGTCTCAATTTCCTTGTCTTTTAAAATTGAGATAATACCAATGGCTATCATTCAGAAATGTTATCAAGATTAAATGGTTAAAATATATAAAGCCTTTAGCAGAAGGCCCAGCCCACAGTAAGTTCTCAATAAATATTAGCTATTATCAAAATAGACGTCTCACCCTAGCCAGTTTGCTCAGTGGTTAAAGTGCCAGCCCACAGACTGAAGGGTCCCAGGTTCGATTCTGGTCAAGGGTGTATACCTCCATTGTAGGCTCGATCCCTGGGCCCGGTCTGGGTGCATGCAGGAGGCAACCAACTGATGTGTCTCTCTCACATCAATGTTTCTCTCTCTCCGCCTCCCTCCCACTCTCTCTAAAAAATCAATGTTGGGGGCGGGGGGATGTCCTTGGTGAGGATTACCAAAATAGAAGTTCTCTTATCTTAAGGGTTCCTTAAAGGCACTAATAGTAACTATTTGAAGGTTTCTTATCAAAAACCATCAAAAGGATAAATGCATTTCAAATAGGGACTGTTTTTAAAAATTAAGACTGCTAATAGGAGGTTTAAAAATAAAAAATATCAAAATATGTGAGTCTTTATAATTTCTTCTCAAATCAACTCAAACTATTCCCCATGTTCTACTTAGGCCTAGACCAGTTTCAGGGCCACTACCTCCACAGCCGGGAGTACAAGGGCCCAGAAGCCTTCAAGGGGAAGAGGGTCCTTGTGATTGGCCTGGGGAACTCGGGATGTGACATTGCTGTGGAGCTCAGTCGTCTGGCTACACAGGTAAACGAACAGAAAGGTTTGGGGAAAACACACCTGGAGTATGGCTGTGCTACTAAACCAAACACTGAGGATGGTGTTTGCCATGTCTTACCACAAGGAATCCCCCTGCTATATATGCCCATTAAATCAGGGGAGACTATAGACATTCTCCCTGTGAAGCAAGGTAATGCGGCCATGCTCATATGGAAGTGCATTCTGCTGGAACCAGAGGTAAGTGCGTGTGCTATACATATATGCAAGTGCGCATTTCTTACTAATTTTATCACCTCCAAGGAAACTGGTGGCTAGTCAAGCTCTACCTTTACTTATTTAATAATAATAATTCTTATCACTTACCACCCTGAAGGTCTGGAAGATGCACAAGGTATAGTTCTTACTACTGTTTATCTATTCAACAGCTACTGCTCAACCAATATCAGGCACTTTTTTAAAAATATATTTTATTGATTTTTTACAGAGAGGAGGGGAAAGGGATAGAGAGTTAGAAACATCGATGAAAGAGAAACATCCATCAGCTGCCTCTTGCACGCTCCCTACTGGGGATGTGCCCACAACCAAGGTACATGCCCTTGACCGGAATCGAACCTGGGACTCTTCAGTCCGCAAGCCGACGCTCTATCCGCTGAGCCAAACCGGTTAGGGCAGGCACTTTTTTTTTTAATGTAGGAGTTTCAGATTTGTTTTTTTGTTTATTTATTTTAGAGAGAAGAACGGAGAGGGAAAGAGAGATAGAAACAGCAATGATGAGAGAGAATCATTGATTGGCTGCCTCCTGCACACCCCTTACTGTGGATCGAGCCCATAACCTCGGCATGTGTCCTGACCAGGAATCGAACCGTGACTTCCTGGTTCATGGATTGATGCTCAAACACTGAGCCACACCGGCAGGGCACAGGCACTTTTTATAAACAAACACACAAACAAGTCAGACTACTGCCTGACTTCAAGGAGCAGGCAATGGGTGGAGTTGGGATGACAGGTATGCACACCATTGCAAAAGGAAATAATGAGACATCAGCGACATTAGCTGTGGCAGTGGCAGCACCATGAAAGCAGAACCTAACGTAGCCTGGATGGAGTCAAGGAAGGCTTCCCAGAGGACTCCAGGCTGCATCATACATGACCAGTAGACCCTGAAGAAACAGCATGTTTTTAAGGAAATAGGTGCTCAATAAATAAATTTGTAAATATATGGAAAGAAAAGCTTAGGATTTTTAAAGTCATTTTCCCTTGGGTTATTACAAAAGTGGTACAATAGGCAGACAGCCGGGCTTGACTCCAGGCTGAGGCAGCTGCCATGTTGTGGGCTGCCCCACAAGGTGCTGGGTAGGTGTGTAGAAAGAAATGGCAAAGGAAGCCAGGGACAGAGAACAGAATTCAATCCTTGGCATCTCCTCAGCCTCATTTCAGCTAGAGATTTAGCTACATTTCCCACACACAACCCAGCAACTCCACCACTGAGGTCCACTGTTCTACCAGACCTACCATCTTATTCTCTGAGTGTATGAAGATGAAACATGTTTGTGGGCTGAATATAGAGCCCTCTGGTTCTGAGATAGTAGGTTCTCATTCTTTCAACAACTATGCACTAGCCCTCTAGGGTGGAGGGGGGAGTAGGTCTGCCTCTACCTGGTTTCAATTATGAACCCACCTTTTTAGGGGTGCTCTTGCCTGGATAGTAAAGGAAATAAATACATGGATATGTCCATAGAATTCTGTTGTATCTGCTTACTTCTCACAGAATGATATTGAAATCAATGTTGCTTCCCCCACCAGGTCATGATCAGCACCAGAAGCGGTTCCTGGGTCATGAGCCGGGTTTGGGAGGACGGCTATCCTTGGGACATGGTGTACATTACCCGGTTTGCATCCTTTCTCCAGAATGCCCTTCCTTCATTCCTCTCTGACTGGCTATATGTGAAGAAGATGAACACAACATGCTTTAAGCATGAGAACTACGGCCTGATGCCTTTAAATGGGTACTGCAAATAACACATACTTATCATTCAAAAGAGTGGGGCTCTAGTTTAAGTGGAATTTTTCCTCTCTAGATCTTACTTTAGTTATTTCACTGAGGCTGGTGGGATTAAATGGAGGACTATATAGGAGACGCAGTAAACCCAGAGATCAGGTATGGGATAAAAATCTTACTGAAATTAGTCAAGTGGGGAAAGGCATATGGAAGAGTACAAAGGGGATGGAGCAGGCAGCTAGATCACCCTGATGTGCAGGATTTGGTTGTGGTAGCTACAATCTAGACAGAGGTTTGTGGACTGAGCCAACTCATAAACTCTGTTTGTGATTTTTTAAATATATTTTTATTGATTTCAGAGAGGAAGGGAGGGGAAGAGAGAGATAGAAACATCAATGATGAGAGAGAATCACTGACTGGCTGCCTCCTGCATGCCCCCTACTGGATCAAGCCCACAACCCAGGCACGTGCCCCGACCAGAAATCAAACCCTGACCTTTTGGTTCATAGGTCAATGCTCCACCACTGAGCAACACTGACTGGGCATAATTTGTGTGGGGGGTTTTTTTGTTTTTTTAATCCTTATCCGATATTCCATTGATTTTTAGAGACAGTGGAAGAGAGAAGGAAAGACAGAAACAACGATGTGAAAAAGACACATCAATTGGTTGCCTCCTGCACACACCTTGACCAGGGCCTGGGCCAGGGAGGAGCCTGTAACCAAAGTACATGCCCTTGACTGGAATCAAACCCAGGACCTTTTGCTCCACAGGCCAGCGCTCTATCCACTGAGCCAAACTGGCTAGGGCTAAATTGTGGTGTGTGTTTTTTTAAGGAATATCTTGTCTATGCTTATGGGTGAATGGGGATAGAAATAATAATACTTACTCCTCGAGACTGTTGTGGTATTCAGTAAGATTAAAAATATATACAACTTACTTTGTAAACTATAAAGCTTCACAAAATATTGGTTCTTAATAGCCTCAAATGTTTAATATGGTTCTATGGAGCAATTAACATGTCTTAGCAAGTAGGAAGTCTCAAAACAAAAGCACACACCGCCTCCTCCATGGAAGAGTTGGCATTTTTTCAGGATGGTCAGAGGGCATGGGACACACCAGGTATTTGAGATCCACGGAACTGATGAAGTCGATAAATGTAAAGAGATTCATGTATGTGTTTCTCTATGGAGACAGAGCCCAACCCCTTCTAATGAGAAAGGCATTCTAGGTAGAAGAATCACTGTATCAACAGGAAAAAAAATTAAATGGGTAAGAAAAGAGAGGATCCACAGAGAAATTTTATATTTGGCCCACGCTAGCAAACGTGTTTCATTGTGTTTAGAGAAACGGGTTAAGGAAAAATAAGAGGGAACTGGAAATTGAAATAGCAAATGCCAGGCTTGGGAGCCAGAGCCTCACTCCACAGCACGTATGCTACCTAGTCTGGCAGACCGCTAGGCCCCTAAAGAAAAAAGAAAAGGTGATTTCATGCATTTAAAATTATGTTTAATGTAATAGAACTTCTAACGCTCGAGCTAGTTAAGATTTTTTTTTGTCCTGTAACAGTAACTGCAAATTGTATTTTGCCTTTGTTCTTGAGACAACTGAAACACAGTTTTGGAAGTCTACTACTAAGAACTAAGCTCCTTCCTAGAAAGGGTTCCAAATAGCCTAAGGTATTGACATACTCTCACTCCTGCCTTGGAGAGCAGAGGTGGAAAAGGGGAGAGAAAAATAGGTTTCACTGACCTACTTGTTGTCACCTTATAAGGTAAAAGAAGAGATTGCAGGTTTAGAGAGGTGGAGAACAGTGTGGAAGTATAGGGACAAATTCTAAGATTTAAAAAGTTACTTAGGATTTGAGATAGAAGAAATTCCCAAATCCCTGAAAGTTAACTCAAAATGAAGAAGATCATAAAAAAAAAGGCCTAGAATTTTGGCAACAGAAGTCCAGTATCCAAGTTGTTATACTTTCTTCTGTGACCACAGTTGATGAAAGGCATGGCAATAAAACATCCCACCACAAAAAATCTGATTTCCTCACGTATGATGAGACCTCAGCTACAGTAATAGTTCACTTATAATAATGATGCTCTCGTGTGCCAGGCACTCTTTTAAGTGCATTATAGAACATTGTTTCATTCTCAGAGCTACCTCATGAGGTAGATTCTATGTTATCTCCATTTTACACTGAAGAAAACAAGTGCAGAGAAGTAGCAACCAGAAAGAGATGGAGCTAGGTTATACATTTAGGTCATCTAGTTCCAGAGTCAACACTCAACCACTTTATTATGCCTCCAAATTAGTGTTATTCTAACCCATTTGATGAGTTTCCAAATAGCGTACATACCCATAAGAGCATTTTCAAGTTTCCAGGCACCAAAAGAGGCAGCTCAGACAGAAATTCTTAGGAACTGCTTTAGGCAACAGGAAAGGATTTACCCAAAAGTAGAGAGTTCCGTTGTCCTCATGCTGATGTTCACCTGCTCAAATTTGGTTGCAATACTAAGGGCTGTTGTAGATATCTCTTGGAAATGATGTACTTTACAGCAGAGGCCTTGTCTCTTGTTTCTGCACAGTGCCCTGAGGAAAGAGCCTGTGTTCAATGATGAGCTCCCATCACGCATCCTGTGTGGCACACTGTCCATCAAGCCTGGTGTGAAGGAGTTCACAGAGACCTCAGCCGTGTTTGAGGATGGGACCGTGTTTGAGGCCATTGACTCTGTCATCTTTGCGACAGGCTATGCATACGCCTACCCCTTCCTTGATGACTCCATCATCAAGAGCAGAAACAATGAGGTCACCTTGTTTAAAGGCATCTTCCCCCCAATGATGGAGAAGCCAACCTTGGCCGTGATTGGCTTTGTCCAGTCCCTTGGGGCTGCCATCCCCACAGCGGACCAGCAAGCCCGCTGGGCTGCTAAAGTGTTTGCAAGTAGGTGGGCCATTCTTTCATTCAGTCAGTCAGCAAACGTTTACTGAGATACCAAGCTAGGTGCTAGAGATATACGTAAAGGGGACCAGATAGACATGCTGCTTGACCTCAGAGAATTTAAAGTAGGGTGAGGGAAATGCCACAATAGGGGAAACCTTAGGGTTTTCCGGTGAGGGGAGCTAGTCAGTGAGTTATTCCATGAAGAGGGAAAGGCATAAATGTGAGAACAGCATAAAGTGTGTGAGGATCCAGAAACATTTTGGTGGGAGGCAATATAAAGCAGAGGCAGGGAGTGGCAAGAAATGGAGGAAAGAACCAGGGTGCGGAAGGCCCATATAAGCTGTGTTAAAGAGCTTAGACTTCTAGTGGGAGAATTGGAAGGACTTTGAAAGGCTGTAAGCAAGAGAAGGATAGCAGTGGGTCACTGAAATGTCAAAGGACATGGCAAAGGTTGGAAAGGACATGTCAAGTACATGCTGGAGGTCTTCTTGCTATCCATGTGTGTCAGAATAACAATGTCAGCTCACTCCTACTCTATGAACAATCTTCTCCCCTTTGGGCTACAAGTGAAAAAATCAAGAATACAAGAATTACATGGGAAAAGGCAATGTCTCAAATATATTGATTTAATTTATTCCAATTATATTGATCATCACTGTCATTAAGAGTAGTAGCCTTTCATTCAAGGGTTCAAGAATCTTGGCCAAGCCGAAACCGGTTTGGCTCAGTGGATGGAGCGTCGGCCTGCGGACTGAAGGGTTCCAGGTTCGATTCCGGTCAAGGGCATGTACCTGGGTTGCGGGCACATCCCCAGTAGGAGATGTGCGGGAGGCAGCTGATCGATGTTTCTCTCTCATCGATGTTTCTAACTCTCTATCTCTCTCCCTTCCTCTCTGTAAAAAATTAATAAAATATATTTAAAAAAAAAAGAATCTTGGCCAATATAGGAATACCTTACTTAACATACTATTCATAAAAGCTTAGACTACAGGTAATGAAGAAAGCGTTATAATCATAGAGTGTATATATATGTTTTCTAAAAATGTTGTGGATAAATTAGCTTTTCTTTTATGTGTACCTCGAAGGAGAATTACCGCTAAAAGCCCTGTCATGTGATCTTTTGTAACATTGCTCCCCTATAAAATACTCCTATTGTCTTTTCTCTTGAAAGGCACAACAGTGCCTCATGCCTGAGGTATTGTAGGAAGATTGGACACAGTATATAACACCCCCCCAAAATTTATAAGAAACAAAGGGTATTATTTATTCATTCAGCAAATATTACTTGAGCACCAACTATGTGCCAGGCTCTATCTTGGCACTTAGGACACAACATCAAACAACATGATTAAAATTCTAATAGAAGTACAGCGAATATCTGACCACAGTGCACCACTACGCTGAGATAATATGCTAACAGGGACTGGGATGTGTTTGTACGCTGTGAATGTCACAATAACTTCTTGCCATTGTTACAAAGGCCAACGAGCTACCATCAGCAATTGGAAAAAACCTCGGATGATGTGGTGAAAATCACAAAAAAAATAAAAAAGATTTTGCTGCCCCCTTTTAAAAATGTTTTATTTTTCAATTACAGTTGACATACAATAACATATTAGTTTTGGGTGTACAACATAGTGATTAGATATTTATAGACCTTACAATATCCTCGTTGGCTGCAGGCTGATTCTGAAAAAAACCATGCTTCTGTCTACTGTCCCATTTTCATTGCCATGTACCTGAAGAGTAAACTATTTCACCAGATTATTTCTTGAAAGAATCCTTAATAAGAGGAGGTAGACAAGAAATTTGAAGAAACTCTTCTAGCTATTATGTGCATGAAGGTTCCTGAGTATATTGAGGATGAGGCCCTCCATAAGGCCACAGGAATATGAGATTGGGTGATTTAAAGCTACGAACCCTTCCGCTGTCACTATCTCAATGCAGACCAGCTTTGTGATTCCCAAAGCAGGTTTCACTTGCTTCTCAAATCTTCTTTCTATGAATTTTTATTCTACTAAAGATACTGAATAAAATTCATCATGTGTCAATTATACATTTCTGATTTGCCTTTTTCAATATTTCTCTCTTCATTTCTTCTCTAGACTCATGTACCCTGCCAACTACAAAGGAAATGATGGATGATATTGATATGAAAATGGGGAAGAAACTCAAGTGGTAAGAAGTTGTACTTGCTAATGAAACAATTAGAAGACTATAATCAAACAATATTAGGTGGGAAAATAATAGTCATTACATTTCTCCTGTATAAGACTAAGTTCTCAAATGGGTGATTTTGCCCCCCAGGAGACATGTGGCAAAGTCCAAAGAAGTGTCCAGTTCAAAATGCCAGTAGTGCTGAGGTTGAGAAATGATTATAACACTTTCCCGAAGAGCTTCTTTCTCATTAGCCACATGTCTGTCCTAGACACAGTGATCGACAAGAAAAAGAAATAAAAGGTATCCAGATTGAAAAGGAAGAAGAAAAACTGTCACTATTTGCAGATAATGTAATACTCTGTATAGAAAACCCTAATGATTTCACCAAAAAACTATTCAAATAAGTGAATTCAGTGAAGTTGCAGGATATAAAATTAATATTCAGAAATCTGTTGCATTTCTACATGCAAATAACACACAATCAGAAAGAGAAATTAAGAAAACAATTCCACGTACAACTGCATCAAAAATAATAAAATACCTAGGGATAAATTTGACCAAGGAAGCGAAAGACCTGTACTTAGAAAGCTATAAGATACTGATGAAAGAAATTGAAGAAGGCACAAATAAATGGAATTATATACAGTGTTCATAAATTGGAAGAATTAATATTAAAATGTCCATACTACCCAAAGTAATCTACAGATTTAATACAACCCCTATAAAAATATCAATGGTGTTTTTCACAGAACTAGAACAAATAATCTTAAATTTTATATGGAACCACAAAAAAACCCTGAATAGCCAAAGAAATCTTGAGAAATAAGAACAAAGTTGGAGGTATTACCCTCTGTGACTTCAAATTGTACTCCACATCAGTAGGGTACTGACACAAAAACAAATACCTAAATCAATGGAACAGAATACAGAGCCCAGAAATAAACCCATGCTTATGGTCAATTAATCTACAACAAAGGAGGAAAGAATATATAATGGGGGAAAAGACAGTCTCAATAATAAATGATGTTGGCAAAACAAGACAAATGCAAGAAAACCTGAAACTAGGCCATTTTCTTACACTATATACAAAAATAAACTTATCTACAATAAGATTAAAGACTTAAATGTAAGTCCTAAAACCATAAAACTCCTAGAAGAAAACAAAGGCAGTAAATGCTTTTACATCAGTCTTTGCAATGTTTTTTTAACATTTTTCCTTGGGTAAAGGCAACAAAAGGAAAAATAAACAGATGGGACTAGATCAAAGTAAAAAGCTTTTGCAACAAACAAAAAACTCATAGATACAGACAACAGAATGTTGGTTACCAGAGAGGAAGGGGGTTGCTGGAAAGATGAAAAAGGTAAACAAGATAATGGAAGGAGATTAGATTTGGGATGTTGAGCACACAATAGAGTATACAGATGTTATATTATAAAGCTGTACACCTAAAATTTGTGTTATTAACCAAAGTTACCCCAATAAATTTAAGAAAAATAAAGCTTTTGCACAGTGAAAGAAACCATCAATAAAACAAAAATGCAACCTACTGAATGGGAGAAGATATTTGTAAATGATATGTCCAATAAGAGGTTACTATCCAAAATATATAAAGAACTCATATAATTCAATAGCAAAAACAAAAAAATCTGATTCAATAATGGGCAGAGGTCCTGAACAGACATGTCTGCAAAGATATGCAGATGGCCAATGGACTCATGGAAGATACTCAACATCACTAATCATCAGGGAAATGCAAACCAAAACAACAATGAGATATCACCTTATACCTGTCAAAATGGCTATTACCAAAATGACAGCAAGTAACAAGTGTAGGCGAGGAATATCAGTAGATATTCCTCAAAAAATTAACAATGGAACTACAGTACGACCCAGCAGTTCCACTTTGAGGTATTTATCTGAAGAGAATGAAAACAATAATCTTAAAAGATATATGCACCCCTATGTTCATTGCAGCATTGTTTAAAATAGTCAAGATATGGCGGCATCGTAAGTGTCCATCAATAGATGAAGAGATAAAGAAGATGTGGTACATTTATACAATGGAATTCTACTCAGCCACAAAAGAATAATAAAATCTTGCCATTTGCAACATGGATGAATCCAGAGTATTCAATCATATGTCAACTAGAGTTAAAAATAAATTTTAAAAACAGAAGAGTCATGTATTAAAGAGAAAACTAAATTAATCAGCCAAATTGGGAACCCAGTTCACTTCAGGCCACATGGCCAGAGGCAAAAGCCTAAAATGACATCAAAGTTGAGTAGAAATTAGGAAGGAAAGAAAAGTAAAAGCTTATTTATAGCCAAAGAACAAATAATAAATTTAATGTTGTGGCAAAAGAGAGGCGTGTGGGTGTTACTAGAGGTGCTAAAATTTGAGTTTTTCTGAGATAGAAAATAAGAAATCGGTGCTTCTGTTTACAACTCATTCCTATATGCTCTTTTCTTTCCTCAGGTTTGGACAAAGCCAGACTTTGCAGACAGATTACGTCACATACATGGACGAGCTGGGCTCCTTCATAGGGGCCAAGCCTAACATACCATGGCTCTTCCTGACTGACCCCCAGCTGGCGCTGCAGGTGTTCTTTGGTCCTTGTAGCCCATATCAGTTTCGACTTATGGGACCAGGAAAGTGGGAGGGGGCCAGAAAGGCCATCTTGACCCAATGGGACCGGACAGTAAAGCCAATCAGGACAAGAGCCGTCAGTGAAGCTCACAGACCACAACCTTTTTACAACTTGTTTAAAAGTCTTTTATTTCCACTGCTTCTTCTACCTCTTTTGCTTGCACTTTATTAATGAGAGAGTTCTTGGGTCTCAAAGTTCAGCCTAGAAGTTCAATTACTGATATGCCTATACATGTACACGTATAAAATCTCATACCTGTTCTTTCCCTTCCCGTAGATGTAAAAATGAATTCTGGCCCATTTGACTCTAAGTCCAAATAATGAAAAATACTCAGCATCTCCTTTTTCATGAGAATCTAGACTCTAAAAGGCTGAATTGGCAAGTTTAGAGATGCTCGAGGTAAAGAAGATGGGACAGTAAATGGGAGGACAGCTTTGTAGGCTGGACAAACTTTAATAAACGTTTTAAAGGGTGTTTTGTCATGGGGAGAATTGACATCACAACTATGTTGAGTCTTCCAACCTATGACACACTATATATTTCCATTTATTTAGATCTTCTTTAATTTCTCAGTAGTATTTTATAGTTTTTAGTGTATAAGTCTTACCCATCCTGTTTCAGATTTATCCTAAGTATATCATGGGATGTTATTATAAATAGCAGTTTAACTTTTTAATTTGCTACTGTTTATTGCTAACATATAGAAATGCAATTATCTGTTCTATGAACTTTTATGTAGATTCCATAATACTTTCTACATAGATGATCATCTCTAAAAATAAAGATACCTTTTGTTCCCTCCCATTCCAATTTGGGTGTTTTTTTATTTCTTTTTCTTGCCTTATTGCACAGGATAGAAACTCAAGTATAATGTTGAATAGAAGTGATGAGATCAGACAACCTTGCCTTATTCCTGATCTCAAAAATAAAGCATTCATTCAGTCTTCTATCATTAAGTACAATGTTAACTATAAATTTTTTCATAAATGACTTTTACGTTGAGGAAGTTTCCTTTAATTCCTAGTTTGCTGATAATTTATATCAAGAATAGATGTTGGATTTTTTGTCTAATGCTTTTTTTCTGCATCATTGAGATGATAGTATCATTTATAATTTTTAGTTTATAAATATAGTGAATTCATTGACTATTAATCCAACCTTGCATTCCTGAAATGCACCTTACTTGGTCATGATATATTATCTATCCACCTATACATATAAAAGCTTAAGCGACCGAATGACCCAACGACCCAACAACCGATCGACTGGTTGCTATGACACACACTGACCACCAGGAGGCAGACGCTCAACTCAGAAGCTGCCCCCTAGTGGTCAGTGCACTCCCACAGCCAACCTCCTGTGGCCCCTCCCCCTGGCCAGCCAGTCCTGGTGCTAAACCATTCATAGAGACCTGCTTCTGGGTCGGGGTTTCATACGTAGCAGAGCAGCTCCCTCACTGTGATCTATTGGAAATCAGCCCTTGAGCCCTGACCAGTTTGGCTCAGTGGATAGAGCGTCAACCTGCAGACTGAAGGGTCCCAGGTTCGATTCTGGTCAAGGGCATGTACCTTGGTTGCGGGCACATCCCCAGTGGGTGATGTGCAGGAGGCAGCTGATCGATATTTCTCTTTCACTGATGTTTCTAACTCTCTATTCCTCTCCCTTCCTCTCTGTAAAAAATCAATAAAATATATATATATTTTTTAAAGTTGGCCCTCGACACAAGGGTTTGTCTTGCTCCCGGCCTTTCCCTTCCTGGGGGGCTGCCCGCCCGCTGCGGTGGTGGCATGGCAGCGAGGGAAGGGGGGGGGAAGGTGGGGAACTGCCTTCTCCTCTCTCTTCCCCAAGGGCCGCCTGCCCGCAGCTGGTGAGGGAAGGAAGGGGGCAGGCAGGGAACCGCGTGGTGGCGGAGCACCAACGGCAGCTTCCGCGTCTGGTGTCCGTTCCTTCCGTACCCGCCCCGCGACCGTCACCTCTTCTCCTGACCCTGCTGGGGCCTTCAGGCCCGGGCTGAAACAGGGAACCTGGGGTGAATGGTAGCAGACATGGCCCCTTTCCCAGGGGGGGCCAAGGGCCAGCTCCCTCCTAGGGGCTGGCAGCAACCTCCTGTGGTCCCTCCCCCTCCAGCTGGCCAACCTCCTGCCATGGTCCCTCCCCCCTGGTCAGCCAACCTCCCGCTGCGGTCCCTCCCCCAGCCGGCCAACCTCCCACGGTCCCTCCCCACCCCAGCACACCCCCCCCCCGCCCCTGTGCACAAATTTGTGCACTGGGCCTCTAGTTTTTTAATAAAAGAACACTGAGGACTAACAAGGGGCTAGGGAGCATGCTAAGCCAAAGGGCACTTCATTCTTGTCAGTGAGTACTTAGCTGGAAAAACCAGTGAAATCCTTGTTTTGTACATGTGACTGTGTATAGTATGTGGGTGTGTGTATATGTTTGTGATTGAATCTAGTGTAAGGACTATAGGAGGCAAGCTCATCAACAAATTGAATAAATAAAATCTTTTTTACCAGTTCATTATCAATGATAGTAACTGATTTCAAATCAGATTGGTAGAAAGGCTAACAGTTAAGAAATTGTTCTGTTTCAAGTTATCAGACACAAAAGAAACGATATATTTTTTTAATTTTAAAGTGCAGTTGGTAAACAGTATTCTATCCGTTTAAGGTATGCAACATAGTAATTCAACATTTATATACTTTATGATATGATCAACACAATAAGACTAGTAACCACCTGTCACCATGCAAAGTTATTACAATATTACTGGCTATATTCCCTGTCATGTATACTACATCCTGTGACTTATTTATTTTATAACTGAAAGTTCGTTCCTCGTATTCCCCTTCATCTTTTTCACCCATCCTCCTCCTACCTTCCCTCTGGCAACCATCCATTTGTTCTCTAAACTCATAAGCCTGTGTCTGTTTTGTTTTGTTTGTTCTGGGGTTGTTGTTGTTTTTTCAGATTCCCATATAAGTGAAATCATGGTATTTGTCTTTCTCTGAGTTATTTTACCTAGCATAATACACTCTAGGTCCATCCACATTGCAAATAGCAAAATATAATTGCTGAATAGTGAAATTTCTTTATTGTTGAATATTAATCCAGTGTGTGTGTGTGTGTGTGTGTGTGTGTGTGTGTGTGTGTGTGATCTTATTTATCCATTAGTCTATTAATGGACACTTAGGTTGCTTCCATATTTTGGCTATTGTAAATAATACTGCAATAAACACAGGCATGCATATATTTTTTGAATTAGTGTTTTCATTTCTTCAGATAGACAGCTGGAAGTGGAATTACTGGATCATATGGTAGTTCCTTTTTTGTGTGAGAAACCTCTCTATTGTTTTCCACAGTGGCTGTACCAATTTGAAATCTCACCTACAATGCAAAAGGGTTCCCTTTTCTTGACATCTTTGCCAATGCCTGTTACTGTTTGGTGTTTTTATAAGAGCCAATGTGACAGGTGTGAGGTGATATCTCACTGTGGTTTTGAGTTAAATTTCTCTGATGATTGTGATGTCTTTTCATGTGTCTGTTGGCCATCTCTATGTCTTCTTTAGAAAAAAAATGTCTATTCAGGTTGTCTGCCATTTTTTTAATCTAATTGTTTGGGTTTTTGATATTTAATTGTATGAGTTCTTTATATATTTTGGATATTAACCCCTTATCAGGTATATCATTTGCAAATATTTCTAATTCAGTGGGTTGCCTTTTTGTTTTGTGGATGGGTTCATTCACTATCAAAGCTTTTTAGTTTTATATAATCCTATTTGTTTATTTTTGCTTTTGTTGCTCTTGCCTGGGGAGACATGTCCAAAAATATATTTCTAAGACCAGTGTCAAAGAGTTTATGCCTATGTTTTCTTCTAGGAATTTTAGAGTTTCTGATCTTACATTTAAGTCTTTAATCCATTTTGAGGTGGGGTGTTTTTTAATGTGGTGTAAGAAAGTGGTCCAGTTTCATTTTTTTGCATGTAGTTATGCAGTTTTCCCAACACCATTTATTGAAGAGACTGTCTTTTCCCCCTTGTATATTCTTGCTTCCTTTGTTGCAAATAAGGTAAGTCTTCTTAATTAATGGTAGTGCTAATAACAGATTGTAAAAAGATTATCCAGTTCTATATTAATCCAGAAAGAGGGCAATGGACAGGAAGATCTTAGAAGGACCACTAGATTCATCCAAGCCAGTGTACCCACAAGCAGACAGATCAAGATGAGATATGAATCTAGTCAGGGTAAGCAGTCTAGGAAGAGATAAACATGGTATACTAGGACCTGGAAGTTGTCAAGTCTAAGAAAGCCAAGCCAAAAGGAAGTATGTCATTTCTGAGAAATCCAGGGACACAATCTGTTTTATTCATCTAGACACAATGATATGCCAGAAATATTACCTAATACACAGAACTGAGTATTTGTGAGATGGATAAATAATCTATCAACTAAATGGAATTCATATAGCCATTAAAAATGCAGCTATGGATATAAAGGTACTGAGATACTGGAAAGTGAAAAATCAAATTGGAAATCATACTTAGATTGTGATTTCATTTTTGTTTGTGTGTGCATAGGTGTATGTATATAAATATCTGGAAAGATATAGCAAACTGTCAACAGTGGCTAAATTTATCTCTGTATGACAGAGTTAAGGGTAATTTCAACTTCTTTTCATTTATCCATATTTGCATATTTGCTAATTTGCAAATGAACATTGTCTACATCCACTACAAAAATGGTTTTTAATCTATCTGTATGATATGTTTGTAAGTGTATATATAGTGTTGGTACTATAAAGGCATTTTACCACTACCCGGGACCTCAAAATATGGGCTCCTTGCTTGATTTCATAACTAACGAAGTCCTTTGAGTTTCCACTGGCAGAATGCTGGGGTAAGAAGCTCCTCCCATTTCTCACTGCCTCCTCCAACTCTTAAAACCCTTCTGACTGCCTAGGAGCACACAACCGACAACGCAAACCATTGTGTGTGAGAGACAGCGACAAAAAGGTAACAACAAAGGTAAGGGTAACAGCTGGGGGAAGAAGCTGACAAGGAAACGCTCAGCTCTAAACTCTAAGGCTCTCGAATGCAGTGAACAGAACTGCAGATCTGGCTCATCTCCCTAGAACTTGGTCATTGAATCACTTGGCTTTGTTAAGTGGGTTGCTTTTAAATGTTGAACCAAGACTTTGTAAACAAGGCTTGCAATAAAGCCCATGAGACTTTGGAATTTGACTACTGAGGTATTTTATTCCATTCCAGCTGGTTATTAAATTACCACTACTATAGCGTTTAAAGCCCGTTACCTGACCACAACCTTACAACTCTCTTATCTTTTGCCCCACTGAGAGCCACTGACTGACCAACTCTGTGACAGGAGACCATGGCAAAGAAGGTGGCAGTGATTGGAGCTGGTGTCAGTGGACTGATCTCTCTGAAGTGCTGTGTGGATGAGGGACTCGAGCCCACCTGCTTTGAGAGGACCGAAGATATTGGAGGACTGTGGAGGTTCAAAGTATGTGAGATCTTCTTGTTTCTTGCACAGGTTGTGCTGCTATTACAGGGGGAAGCATAGCTACTGATGAGCCTTATGGAGGAATTCCCTAAGCAACTTTTATCAGACTTACTTCATGCAGCTATACAGGAGCTGAAGAAATAGGCTAGCATCTCTCCCAGGTCATTACTATTCTAACACATACGTGGCAAAGCCAGGCATGTGAAGGTTCTCTTCTTATGCCTCTGTCTTGCAGCCCATTATTTTGGCCATTCTCAAAGTAATATGCTCGTATTAGAGAACTTACAAAATAGAAGTGACAGGAATTCTTTTCAAGACACCACTTCTATTCCAATCATTGAGCAAATGCTTTTTTAGAAAGTGTGCTCTTATTACTAATGATTTTTACTTTTCTCTGACAAAGAGACCTTGTTTGCTTAGCTTTACTGATGACACTCTCGTATTACTGCTGGGAAACTCTTTAACTATACTGTTAATATACTCTATTCATTCAATTCATGCTATTAGCCAAATATAAATATTGGTAATGCTAGCTGTCCTTCAGAATTTGTATAAAAATTAGAAAAATACATAGAGAGCTATAAAGATTTATAATTATTCCTCCCCAATTTTTTTTTGAATGAGTACTAGCTTACCACCTTCTAGGTGTGAGATCTTCGGCAAGTTATTTATATCCCTGTGTCTTAGTTTTCTCAGCTGTAGGATAAAGATATTAACAGAAAAATGTAATTATCTCAGTGCTATTTTAAAGATTAAGGGAGATCATTCATATCAAAAACTTATAATAGAGTACAATAAGTGTAGCTACCATAACTATGTCTGTATTTTATAGACAAGCAAATAGAAACAGAGAGGGTAAATGATGTGGTCACGGTCACATAGCTGGAGGAACGGGCATTCAAACCTGGGTCTCCGTGACTCCTAAGCAGCTAAATCCCTACTTATACCTACGTCCTAATTTGCACTCTTGCTCAAACAAAACCTCAGCTCAGAACTGGAATGACAAGCTGAGGATTATGTATCAGGCACATTAAAACGAGGGAGTAAAATAGGTGGGAACATCCCAAACAGGAGCAAACGGATTGAGAGCATGAAAAACAGACTTCCATATCGGCAAAGACCATCTGAAGTGCTCTTTCTGCAAACGGACCGATTAAGGGGATGGGGAGGACATCCAGCAAACTGGACATCCAGTTCAAACTGAATTTTATGCCAAAGGGGATTTTTTTCCACATTGGGTTTCTCAAAGGGATCTGACTATAGGACATACCTGGGGGTTTCTTAAAATACTAAATTTTGAACACCAGCCCAGACTTCCTTAATCAAAATCTTCTGAGCGGGGAGGACCCTATTCTTAACAAGAGTCTCTAATGAATCCCATGATGAGACAAGTTTGGCAAATACTGCACAAATGCTAAATTTTTTAAATCTGTTCAATTCAGTGATCCATGCACAGCCAGAACTAAGATGGAAAGATTGATACTTATGACAGAACAGGTAACTTTGCAGAGAGGAAACTGGAAAAACAGCTGAATCACATTCATTTTTTATGAGCATCTGCTCATTAAAATCAATGTAGCTTTTCTTGAGCAGGTGAACATTCCTGTTTTAACCAAAGATGTGCTATTTTTGCCCACTCTCAGTTCACGTGGAGATCTCATTTGAGGTTCTACCCCCCAGGTAGATTTTTTTACCCTAAGGAAGAATGCGAAATTATAACAAATTTCTATTTAATAATAAATTTGTCATTGTTTTGTTTTATTACCTGACTTGGGATTTAAAATCAAAGAGTCAATGTCCCTTACTTAATTATCATTAGTTTGGCAGCAGAAAAATCAGAGTTTTTTTTAGTGATCTGTCAAAAAATATGACTTGGTGAACTCTAGGAAGGTGCCCCAAAATATTTATCCTGCTTTCCTATTCTGGTAGTAGAGATAACTTCCTATCAATTAAAAAAGTTAGACTAAAATTTAAATTAATTAAGTCTTTTCCTATATAATAAAAGCCTAATATGCAAATCGACTGAACGGCAGAACAACCAGTGGAACGACCAGTCACTATGACATGCACTGACCACCAGGGGGCAGACACTCAATGCAGGACCTGCCCCCAGGCTGCAGGCCCCAGGCCAGCCAAGATGGGTGCCAGTGAGGGCCCCCAATCACCCCGCCAGTCACCCCACAGATTGGCCCTGATCGCCAGCCAGGCCTAGGGACCCTACCCATGCAGGAATTTCATGCACCAGGCCTCTAGTTAGGTATAAGATAGTTAAGTACATAAATCCATGGGAGCTGTAATAATGTCACATTTCAAACCTGGCTTACAACTATATTCAATATAGAAATGTAAACAATTTTCTCTAACCAAAGAAGACAAGGAATCTCTCTGCAGAGTGAAACATACAATGGACAAAATTTCAGAAGCCAGTGAGGCTCTTGATTACCAGGAGACTGGACTGCCAAAGGGAGGAGGTACTGAAAAGGAGGCTGAGGCCTCCACACCACTCCAAGACACTCCTCCATCCAAAATCAATTCTGAAAACAGATTATTCTTTAATTTCCATAATTACACAATCCTTCTACAATTACATACTACATTTAGTGGTGACAAGTTAAAACAAAATTTAAGAATCCTTGTCCCACCAGGTCAGCGTGGCTCAGGGGTTAAGTGTTGACCCATGAACCAAGAAGTCACACTTTGATTCCCAGTCAGAGCACATGCCCCCGTTGCAGACTCCATCCTCAGTAAGGGGTGTGCAGGAGGCAGCCAATAGTTGATTCTCTCTTGACACTGCCATTTCTAACTCCCTCTCCCTCTCCCTTCCTCTCTCTGAAATCAATAAAAACATATTTTTAAAAAAGAATCCTTGTCCCATGCCTTGCTCAGAGGGTGCTGAAGCTTCTAAAACAGTGGTTCTCAACCTGTGGGTCACGACCCCTTTGGGGATCGAACGATCCTTTCACAAGGGTCGCCTAAGACCATCGGAAAACACATATATAATTACATATTGTTTTTGTGATTAATCACTATGCTTTCATTATGTTCAATTTGTAACAATGAAATTGGGGGTCACCACAACATGAAGAACTGTATCAAAGGGTTGCGGCATTAGGAAGGTTGAGAACCACTGTTCTAAAAGGTTCTTCAATACCCCCTAGTGGCAGCTTTGGAACATGTAGAAGATGGGTAAATAATATATTTCTAGCACTTTTTCCAACAAGGGGAAGCACTCATCCCATGCAGCATCTCATTTTTCTCCACAATACTTCTAAGAAGTAGGTATTACGATTATTTTCACATGGGAAGAAGAAACTGAGATTTAGGATACGCAACTTGCCCAGAAGAACACTGGTGGTGGGAAAACAACAAAAGTGAAGGTCTGTAAGATTCCTGACCCCCTCACACTTAGTAATCTTACTGAGGTATTAAAAGACGAAAGCATAATCGTCCTTCAGCCATTAACCTGCTCTGCCTCCTTTATTGTTCCTAATAATTGTGCTCACAAGGAAGTTAGCAATATAGTACATTACTTTTGTGCATGTGTGTTTTTTAACATTTGGATATAATTATCATTTCCCGGTTACATATACAGCATAAGGATGAGGAGTACCAATCCCCATGCAGTCAAAAATTCACATATAAGTTTTTACTACCCCAAAACTTACTTTCTAATAGCCTACTGTTGACCGGAAAGCTTTGCCAGTAACATAAACAGTCAATTAATACATATTTTATATATGTATGCATTGTGTGCTGTATTCTTATAATAAACTAGAGAAAAGCAAATGTTATTAAGAAAATCATAAGGAAGAGAAAACACATTTACAGTACTGAATGTATTTATTGAAAACATTGACGTATAAATGGATGCCACCTGAAACATCACTGTTAGGTCTGATCAAATAATTGAATCGATGCCCCCTCGTTCTTTAGGCCACTTCACAACGGACATTCCACTTGCTAAAACCATTATCTCTCCCCTCCGGACTTTCCCAGAATCCAGACCTGCACAGAGAATTCTCCACCCAGAAAAAGCCCGCCTACAGTCCTTTAAAAACCTCTGACTCCCTGTCTTTGGATGCTGGTGCCATTTGGGGGCTCAGCCCAGCTGGTATCCAGCTGACCTAATAAATTCATAATTCTTTACCCCTTTTGGCCACGTGTGTTCCTTCTTTGGTGACCCTAACAATCACTTTCTATCTTAAAATGTGACTCCCTCAAGATCCAATATGCCAAGAAGACTAGGAAACCCAGGGAATTTTTAAATGCATGATTATCACTTTTATTTGATCCTTTAGGAAAATGTGGAAGATGGCCGAGCGAGTATCTACCAATCTGTCATCACCAACACCAGCAAAGAAATGTCCTGTTTCAGTGACTTCCCAATGCCTGAAGATTTCCCAAACTTCCTGCACAATTCTAAGCTCCTGGAGTATTTCAGAATCTTTGCCAAAAAGTTTGATCTTCTAAAATATATTCAGTTCCAGGTATTGTATTTTGGGGGGAATTGATTTCTCTACATTAGTTCACATCACATTTAAATAGAGAAGTTACTCTGATAATGAAAGAGATTGTGGATAAAACAAAGTATTGCAATCCAATTATTTGCTGAAAGATGAGAGCATGATAGAAAATCCAAAAAGAATGTCATTACCCTGATGCTATAAATTGTACACATTAACAGAAGAGAAAAATCATCTGTTAAAAGTAAAGGTTTGGCCCTAACAGGTTTGGCTCAGTGGATAGAGCGTCGGCCTGCGGACTAAAGGGTCCCAGGTTCGATTCCGGTCAAGGGCATGTACCTTGGTTGCGGGCACATCCCCAGTAGGGAGTGTGCAGGAGGCAGCTGATAGATGTTTCTCTCTCATTGATGTTTCTAACTCTCTATCCCTCTCCCTTCTTCTCTGTAAAAAAAATCAAAAAAATATATATTTTTTTAAAAAGTAAAGGTTTGAATGATGATGATAATGATAAGGAAACTGCATTTAAACTAATATTTGTAACCACTGAAGAATCCTATCCTCATTTCCCTTTAAAAAAACATACGGAAAAAAAATTATCAACAATAAAAACACCAATATCTCACTTAACATGCTGAATTTTTATCAATAACCTACACTCTGAGAACTACTAACTGTGCTTAGGAAATAAAGTTTAAATTACATCTCTGAATACATAACTCCTAATGGAGCTTAGGGTTTTTTTTAACACATCTCAGTTTCTCAGTAATTTTAGTTTTGCTCCAGGTTTGTATTATATTAATTTATAATAGTTGACTTTGGTGAAAATCTTTAATTGTATTTGTAAGCACAATTAAAATGTCCATGCCAGGCTGGTGTGGCTCAGTGGTTGAATGCTGACCTATGAACTAGGAGGTCACAGTTCAATTCCCAGTCAAGGCACATGCCTGGATTGCAAGCTCAATCCCCAGTGTGGGGCGTACAGGAGGCAGCCAATCAATGCTTCTCTCTCATCATTGATGTTTCCATATCTCTCTCTCCCTCTCCCTTCCTCTCTGAAATCAATAAAAATATATTTTTTTAAAATATCCAGTCCCATCTAATGTAGTTTTTCCCAAATTCCTGGTAACCCATCCTATAAATGACAGACCTTTATATCAGAGATTTATAGATCTTTGTCTACTTAGCTACCAATCTATTTAATAGATGTATTGCCCTTTCATGACATGTAATTTATAGTCTCTTTTTGTTGTTGTTGTTAATCCTCACCTGAGGCTATTTTTTTTCATTGATTTTTAGAGAGTAGAAGGAGGGAGGGAGGGAAGGAAGGAGGGAGGGATGGAGGGAAAGGAGGGGAGGGAGGGGGAGAGAGAGAGAGAGAGAGAGAGAGAGAGAGAGAGAGAGAGAGAAACATTGATGTAAGAGAGACACATTCATCAGTTGCCTCCTGCACTCGCCCCAACTGGGGCTGGGGATCAAACCTCCAACCCAGGTACATGCCCTTGACTGAGAATCAAATCCGTGACCCTCTGGTGTGTGGGCCAACACTCTAACCTTTAGCACACCGGCCAGAACAATAGTCTCTATTCTTTTAAAGATCATGTTAGAGTTGCAAGGAAACTAATTTTCTTGTTCACTGTGTCACCGCTGCAATTGTTTTCTGGAGGCTGGAGAGGGGTTAGGAAAATGCATTTCCGTGTATTGGTCTCTGAGTTGGTATAAGCCCTAAGAAGTTAGGGCTCAACTCAAAATGTAAATGACTCTGTGGCATGTCTAATCACCTTCCGAGGGATACTGAAGGTGTTGGTCCTCAAACCACATTTTGAATAGCAAGAATCCACAGGACTTTAGCTAGTATACTACTCTGGACTACAAATCTGAAATCTTTACTCTCTGCTGAAAATGCCCAGACGTTTTATAGTACTTTTGTAAGCTTTATACTAATATTCCATATACATTTTTAAAATTTGAACAGTCTCAAAAATTAGCAATGCTACATTTTGAAAAATATCTGAAAATGTGAAAAGCATGCATACGAAACTCAAATACTTACAAAGAGAAGTATGCCACTACTCTGAAAGTGAGAAAAGCTTTGCTTCCATTTGACATTGTTCTTAAATACATCAGACACACGACCTTCATGTGTACTTTTAAAAACTCACAGACCTCCAGACAGTAAGCTACATTTTAAGAAATCAATGAACCAATAAATTATTTCATCCAAATGAGATCATGAACAGTATTGCTATCGTGATTTTCCCTGTTCTAAAAATATAAAATATCCCATTCACAGAGTGCTGACAATATGCCAGTCGCTATGCAAATCGCTTCTCATGAAACATCTTCTCTAGCACAGTGTCTGCACAGAAGTGAACACATGAAAGGTTCTTGATAAATATTATGTGATCACTTGAATGATAAACATGGATTTTGCCCAGAGCTTACCAGCCACGCCTGCATCTCGCTCCAGTTCTCATTCAGTCAGCTCAGTGGGGGCTCTCGCACAAAGCAGCACGTCCTCAGTTGGTATCTCCCTGCCAAAGAAGAATGAGAAGGCTGAGCTTAGCAGTCTTTGCCTTAACTGGCTTGAAATGGATTCAAATGGAACCTAAATTGTATCAAACATTGCATTCTACTCATCCCCACTCCTCAGGGCACTGGACAAGGCCCCTATATGCCAGATTAATTCTCAAGGATGCCTTCTCTATGTTCGTTTAAGACAACCGTCCTCAGCGTGAAAAGATGCCCGGATTTCTCATCCTCTGGCCAGTGGGAGGTTTTCACCGAGAGCAAAGGCAAGGAGCAAAGTGCCATCTTCGATGCAATTATGGTTTGCAGTGGCCATCACATCCTCCCTCGCATCCCACTGGAGTCATTTCCAGGTGAGGCCTAGGGGATGCCCAGCTTTTCAGAGCAGGTGTCCAGGTACTTCCTATGCAGTTTGGAATGATCATCTTTGTTTCTGTTACACAGGAATCCAGCTAACCTCCTCCAAAGTCAAGATGTCAGAGAATTCATATCCACATTGCCTCCGTGTTGGAAAGGCCCGTTTAGCCATGTGCCTGCTTTGGCCTTTTTCTATCCTGCCAAACAGCTGTGACTTTGTTCTGTCCCTGGAGCCTTTTCTGCAGAACCATGCCCATGGACAGAGTTAGTGGGGAAAGTTCCTGGAAACTCTTTTGGTCCTGGACCATATGCTTAACCTAACATTTCTTATATGCTTTCTACTTTGAGTTTATCCATTGGCCTTGCTATTATAACTCCCCTAAGAGAGGAAGAGGCAAAAGAAATGATTAACCCCAGGAAGGAAAAGTTGACAATGCAGTTTTCTTGAAATTAATTTGACATAGTTGACAGGCTTCTCTCTTTTTCCTCCTGAAGGTATAGAGAGGTTCAAAGGCCAGTATTTTCACAGCCGCCAATACAAGAACCCAGATGGACTTGAGGGGAAGCAAGTCCTGGTGATTGGAATAGGAAACTCGGCCTCAGATATTGCCGTTGAGCTGAGCAAGAAGGCTTCTCAGGTGCAAAGCTCTCTGCTTACCTTGTACCTTGGAGGAAAGGAAAGGGGAGGGGGCACATTGACAAATCTGAGCCGTGTAATCAAGGCTCCATTACTCCTTAACTGGTTGGTTGGTTGGTTGGTTGGTTGGTTGGTTGGTTTCTCCATTGATTCATGTGGCATCAGAAAATCTGTATGTCAAGAAGCCAGAGTTTACCTCCCAGCTCTGCCACTATCAGCTGTGTATAGGCTGAGTCATTTCACTTCTCTGGGCTACAGTTCTCTCACTTTGTAAATGGGAAGTTTTGACCAGATGACTTTCAGCCTAAGAAGCCTTGTTTCCACCCAGGGGCCTTAGTGAAAAGCTGACCTGTTCATATCTGGGGCGGGGGGAGCAGGGGCATTTAGAAATTTAGTGCACAGTTGAATTATATTTGAAATGTAAATAATCCTCAGTTATCCAAAGATTATGAAAAGAAAGATTAAATAGTCAGTAAGACTCCCAACCAAGATCATAGATATGTAGGTGCACACTGAGCCCTTCCAACCACTTTCATCTTTGTACCTGCTCAGGAATGACACAACCGAGCTGTGAAGGAGTCAGACATTACAAGATGTAGATAATGCTGACATCGATGATTGGGAATAACAGAAAATAAACCCCTTCCAGTAGGACAGTCCTAGGCAAAGATGGGAAAATAGCTAGGGTTCCTCTCCCCAAAGCATTCCCTCCCAACAGGGCCTGGGCCCAGGAGCCCTATCACCTGTACACTAGCCTCCTCAGCTTGGCTTCTTCTGGCTACACAGGACTTACATACCTATGTCCACAACTAGCAAAACTGTCCTGTTCTGAGTCTCATACTTTCAGGGCTTGAGATGCCAGGTAGCAAACATGATAAACAAACATGGTGTATCCCCAGATGAATGAAGGGTTTACACTGGAACCTATAAAAGTCACCTATCCAGTGCCAAGGAAGAAGGGGAGACAGTAAGTATTGGGAAAAGACACTCATGGAAATATTTCACAAGCTAAGGAGTTGAGGTCCTTCCCAGCAAAATCGGTCTCCAAATTCTTGTTTACTCCAGACATGTGGCACTACACGAAACTCCTCTCCTCCAGCCTAAATTTGCAAAGTAATAATAGCTAGCAGACAATAGTTTAAGTACTTTCTTTATACCACCTGATTTAACCTGCATAATAATCCCATGAGGCAGGTACTATTAATATCCCCATTTTGCAGAAAGAGAAACTGAGGCACGGAGAGGTTGAAATAACTTGCCCAAGGCAACACAGCCTGTACGTGGTGGGGCTGGGATTCAAACCTAGGGAGTCTAGATGCAGAGTCCTGGAGTCCATGATCATAAACACTTAAGTGAACTGGTTTTCTTACACATGAATCATAGTTAACTGTTTATCTGGGACCACCTTATACCTCAGAATTCAGAGAATGTCAGGTAAAATTTTGAAAGCAATTCAAATATGCATTTGGGCAATTGGGGGGGGGGGGTAACAGTAAGCAAGGTAAACCACCTATCTGGAAATATGTATATATAATTTCAAAATGAGAGATATCTGAGTAAGCAAGGTAAAGAACATACCAGAAAGAAGACTCAGATGTGTATTTCAAAAGAATGGAAATCACAATACACATTCAGATTTTAACACTTAAAATATATAACTGTTCTTTTAAGTGTGGGAGGAAGCTGACACCCCTTGGTATTCCCACTCCAGGGAAGTACAGATCTATGCATGTATGCCTATATAGTCATTGGGTTGTCTTGGTACCTTTCCTAGGATTTTAATTACTTTCCTTTACTATAAAAGAAATGTGGGTAGGTGGGAAGGTGAGAAGAGGGTAGGAGCACCAAACCACAACTGTAAACGTGGTAAAGACCTGTGGATTTTATGATGGGTATTAGCCCAAAGATTTTCTCATGTTTTCAGGAAAGTTCTCAAGACTGTTGTAGTCTTCCTCCATCAATGTGAACACCACTGGGTACTTCTTCTATGACAAAGTTGCCACAGAGCAGTGAAAACAAAATGGTACTTCACTTGGAAGTCAATCATCTTTAAGATAAAGCATTGCAGGAAATTCAGGGGCCATACATGTGATATATCACCTAGATAGCAGATTCCTCCCAAAAGGGACGATGCCCTAACATAAACTGTCTTTCTTTTTGCTTGCCAGGTGTTTATCAGCACCAGGCAAGGTTCCTGGGTCCTCAGCCGTATCTCTGACTGTGGCTACCCCTGGGACATGGTGTTCCACACCCGGTTTCGCTCCATGCTCCGAAATGTCCTGCCACGAGCAGTTCAAAAATGGATGTTGGAACGGCAGATGAATCAGTGGTTCCACCATGAAAATTATGGCCTGGAGCCTCAAAACAAGTAGAGTTATTTTGCTTTTTTTATGGTATACTCATTGGTAAGCAAGGTTGTTAGAGGTGCCTCTCTTCACCAAGGCCCAAATTGCTAACATGGTAGCTCAAGCTTCAACCCAACAGTATGGGTATGGTATAGGTTTTGGAGTTTGAATTCCAAAAGTTGTTCTGTATGCATTTTAAAAGTGAATACTTAAGAAGATCAAGTAGAATTGGTATGAGCTGCTCCAAAAAAAAGCAAAAGTAGGTCATGAAGAGAACTTTCTATTACCCAGAGCTGTCCGTCACAAAGGCTGCTTAATGAGATTGTGACCTTCTTTTCAGAGGGTTGTGGTAGGAAACGTGTATCAGAGTCTCCATTCGATGATTTATGTTCTGCTAACTCTGTGTATCATGGGGGTTCTTCCCATGGGCAGCTTTGAGAACATAATCACTGTCTCTTTGCAAAAAAATTTAAAAAATCTCTGTTCATCTCAAAGTTATACATCACCGAACTTAAAAACTCAAGCAAACATTATAGATGTTTATTTTTCTTTAGTTGATAACAGGCTCCTCCCCTTAAAAGGCAACACAGAAGAGCTTTAGAATCTTTCAACAAATGCCATGTGACTGCTGTATGCTGAGATCTGAGATCTGTAGCATGTATTGCCTTAAACCTACAAGAAAGAGAATTTAAGAAATATAAGCAGACTTTGCTTCACTGCCCATGCTATCACATATGGAGATTTCATGGATACTTGAGATTAGCAACTATCCCCAATATAATTCTATGCATTAATTTTCATACTGATTCCTTACTAATTTTTTATTTTTCACTTTTTTTCCTCTCATGATTCCTTACTAATTTTTAAAACTAATGGGAATTTAATATGTTTTCCTTTTCTTACTTATGATCAGATAGAGATTAAATGGAACAGCAAGATAATTAAAGGTAGATAACATAAAAGAATGTTAGAGCCCTAGCCGGTTTGGCTCAGGGGCACATGCCTGGGTTGTGGGCTTGATCCCCAGTGGGGGGCATGCAGGAGGCAGCTGATCAATGATTCTCTCTCATCATTAATGTTTCTATCTCTATCCCTCTCCCTTCCTCTCTGAAATCAATAAAAATATATTTTTTCAAAAAAGAATGTTAGAGGAACAGCAACTTTGGTGTTGAATTTACTTGAATGGATTAAAATTGCATTGTTACAGAGATAGAAAAAAATTTAAGTATGAAAAATAATAGCCTTATACTAAGTACAAGTAATACTTTAAAAGCATGTGAAGATGTGATCATTTGTGATGTTACTTGTAAAAAAAACTATATATAAATATCTTTTGAAGTGTTGAAAGGAAAATAGTACTTTATATTCTTTATCATATCACTTTTTGTAAGTGTTGCATATATTCCTGTTTATTTTTCTATGTTCTGTTTTGTAGCCTTAAGAAGTGTTTCAAACATATCTGAATGTATCAGAGTAAATGCCCTACATGGTGTGATGCTGCATTATATATGAAACTGTGTGCATATATTAAATTTTGTCTGTTGGAAAAAAAAAGAATGTTAGAAACATCCATGGGCTAATAACCACTGGAATACTCAGCGAATGACCATAGGCACCTGCATTTTGTATAAGCCCTTGGGGATGCTTTCATTTTTTGAAATATCTTTTACCTCTATTACCCATATGTTTCCCCTTTGTTAAGGGAGAAATTTGTGACATGAAAATAAAGTCAGTTAGTAAATTCGGGGTCAAGCCAACTAATCAAGTTAGAAAGTTTTATGGATATTTGAGAAACCTCTTTATTTTCAGAGCCGCACCCACAAAATATCAAGACAGTTCAAGACTCCTCATTAAATGCTCCTTCTGAGTGTTTTCTTCTGTGTGTTTCAGATACCTTATGAAAGAACCTGTACTAAATGATGACCTTCCGAGTCGTATACTCTACGGAGCCATCAAGGTGAAATCAAGAGTGACAGAGCTCACGGAAACTTCTGCCATCTTTGAGGATGGGACAGTGGAAGAGGACATTGATGTCATTGTCTTTGCAACAGGATATACATTCTCTTTTCCCTTCCTGGAAGACTCACTTGTGAAAGTAGAGGATAATATGGTCTCGCTATATAAATACATGTTTCCTCCTCACCTGGAGAAGGCAACCCTTGCCTGCATTGGTCTCATCCAGCCCCTTGGTTCCATTTTCCCAACTGTCGAACTTCAAGCTCGTTGGGTGACGAGAGTTTTCAAAGGTAAGTTTTCAAAGGCTGAGGTCTCACACCTGGTAGAGTCTGCTCAATAATGAGTTTAGACAAGAAGATCGCCAATCTTGGCTGCTCTCTTAAGATTTACATCCTAAAAAGTTAGTGGAGACGTCATAAAATAACAAATACAAAGATATAATAACAAACATCTGTAATCATTCCTTTAATATATTAGAAAGTTCTGTGAATTTTGGATGTGAGGGTGATCTGGCTGCGACATCTGTTACCTCATTGATCGCCAGGGTTAATTCCGCTGATCTGGCTGGCTAGGAGGGTGTCCCCCTCCTCCCTCACTGATGTATGTGCGTCCCTACGAAGCTGCGTGATGGGTCAAAGAGGACGACCTTCCCCCCAAAGGAGAGGACCGGTCTTCGGTCAAGGGTATAGGAGTTGCTGAGCTCCCCTGCTAGAACCTCCAAACCAACCCACTACTTAAACCAGCCTTTTGTATTCTAGGCTTGTGTACCTTGCCCTCAGAGAGGGCTATGATGGAAGACATTATCAAGAGGAACAAAAACAGAATTGACCTGTAAGGATGTTTTTTTAATCTTTACCTAGAACAGTGTTTCTCAAAGCACAGTGAGTACTCTACCCACCTGTGAGAACTAACTAGCTGTTCATTAAAAATGCAAATTCTAAGGCCACAGCCCAGACCAACTGAATCGAAATCTCTGGATGAGACTGGACGTTTGTATTTTTTGAGTTCTTCCTAGGCGATTCTTATATATAGTAGTTGAACTACTAACTACTTAAAGATAGGAATTTTACCAAATCAGAACATTTTCCCTTGACTGAATTTCATTTGTTTTGTATGATGCGCATATTCAATTCCATGTCTTCACTCCCACTCTGTGTTTAGAAAGGGGAATGGTGTTAATGTAAGAAACATTCAAACCTTTGGAGAATTTTTGTGAGTTTATTTGAGCTCAACTATTGACAATTGCCCAGGAAGCAGAATCTCAACAGATTGAGATACTGCTTGGGAGAATGGCAGTTTTGTACCTTGTTTTATACATTACAATCAAAAGAGGAGACAATAAAAAATGTATGTGAGTTACATGAAATCTATTGGTGATAGATTAAGGAGGTGGGAGAAAGCAAAGGGGGGATTTCTGTGATTGGATAAAAAGTAAAATGATAGACACATACATGTGTGAAATGAAGGTTCGAGGATTACTACTTCGTGACTGAAGTGAAACGAGGTTCAAGTGGGTTAAGTCCCCTTGGAAAGTTGACTTGGAGCCTTATATGACATGAAGGGGTCATCTCATGTCCAAATGCTCATTCACCTAACATTTATTGAGCATCATATGCCAGCCAGAGTGTCAGGGACTCTACTAATTTTACAAGCAAATATTAAATGTCTCCTCTGTGCTTGCACTGGGCTAGGCTTTCATCTGTGTTATCTCATCGGTCTTGACAACAATCCTGACTAGTTGGTACTTTGCTTAGTAAATACCAAATAATCATCATGATTGTAAATGCTGTCACATTCCTTGAAGTCCCATGTATTTTACAGTCTATGGTCAATCTGAAATACAGGCTCTTTATTTTACAGTCTATGCAGTGATGGCGAACCTATGACACGCGTGTCAGAGGTGACACTCGAACTCATTTTTTTGGGTTGATTTTTCTTTGTTAAATGGCATTTAAATATATAAAATAAATATCAAAAATATAAATCTTTGTTTTACTATGATTGCAAATATCAAAAAATTTCTATATGTGACACGGCACCAGAGTTAAGTTAGGATTTTTCAAAATGCTGACACGCCGAGCTCAAAAGGTTCGTCATCAGTGGTCTACAGTCAATCTGAAAAACAGGCCTCCTGATGGGATAAACCGACACTTTCCATTTATTTGTTCACTCATTCCTTCACCCTGTCGATAGCTATCGAATGCCTTCTGTTCTTATATAACTTTGAACATCTTGTGAATCTGCCCTTCTCACTTTCTTCATTCAGGTTTGGAGAGAGCCCGAGCCAGATTCTGCAGACCAATTACATCGATTACTTGGATGAGCTTGCCGCGGAGATAGGTGCGAAGCCAGACCTCCTCTCTCTCCTGTTCAAAGATCCTAAACTGGCTGTGAAACTCTATTTTGGACCCTGCAACTCCTATCAGTATCGCTTGGTGGGGCCTGGACGATGGGAAGGAGCCAAGAGTGCCATCCTCTCCCAGAAACAGAGGATGCTGACGCCTCTAAAGACACGCACTCTAGAGCCGGCTTCCAACTTCCCAGTTTCGCTCCTGCTGAAAATCCTGGGGCTTCTTGCTGTTGCTTTGGCCTTTTTTTTCTGACTTCATGGTACTAACCCACCAGCTTGTGGCTTTATTATCAGTCAGTACCACTTAAAGGGAAAAAAAAGACAGAAAGAAAAAATATTAAGCATATATTCTAAAGTTTAGAGTTGAGAGGGAAAGAGTAAGAGAGGTACCTGTGGAGAATTAGCAGGATTAGGACTATGTATGAAACTAAAATAGTGTCATAAAATGTCTTTGCCATTTCACTCTTCCCTCAAGTTATCTAGACTCTCCAAAAAGGACAATCAAATAACACGGGCTAAATAGTGTCGCCAGCCCTGATATAGGCCAGCTGTGCAGAAAATAGCAGAATTACACAGAATGAAGAGCAGGCCCCACTGTTTAAATCACTGGAAATTTTAAGTTACAGGTACATATTTAAACGCCTGTGTGATGCTCTGAACAGTCTTCCTATCCAGACTATTTGGTGACAAAGTCCTCAGACATTAGGTCACACTCCATTTGCTTGGTGGGGAATCACTCAAAAATACTGGAGAAAAAAATGAAAATAGACTTTAAAGCCATGGCAATGCTCAGGCGGCTCTAAGAATCTCATGTCAAAAGCCAAGCATTTCTTATAATTCTTGTATTTTCTTATATTTTTTATATTTTTCTTATATGTTGACAGAAGCACTGCTGTAAAATAAAAATAAACATCCCATGATAGTTACATACTATATACTTAGTACTTATTATAGACTAGACATTGTGCTCTGTGCACATTATGTGTATTATATCATTTAATTCTCACAACAATTCCGGGAGATGGGTGCAGCTATTATACCGATTTAGCAGATATGAAATTGAGATTCATAGCAATTGAGTGACATGCACAAGACCATACAGATGGTTTTACGATGGAGCTGGGATTAGAACCCAGATTTGCTTGACTTCAGAACTAAAGACATAACCTTTCCCTATAATATACTTAATTACAAAAATCCCTAGTATTGATAAAGTACTGAGCAGTGTATATTATTTACGATTATATATATATACTTTTGGAGGACAGCACTCCTTGTAAATATAATCCGATTATATTTGGTTTATAATTCAGCTAAACCTAAGAAGCATTTGAAGTAATTTTACAGTGAAAGGTACCTATACAATAACATTTAAGATCATCATTGACATTTTGGAAAAACAATCATCAAGGAGGAAAAGTATATTTCCCAAGTAAAGGAAAAGCATTATGAAACCTGAGCCTTGTATTTAGTTCTAACCTTACAGATAACCTAGGCAAAAAGCTAAATCATATGTAATATTCATCATCTGATCAAAGGAAGCATACCAGTTTGTCAGGAGAGACAAACATTTTCTTGAAACTGAAGTCCAAAAAAGACCCAAGCAATTCAATGTCAATAGACATTGAGCAATAAACATCTGGTTATGAAACATGCACTACACACCCACTGAGCTTTGGGAGATAAACTCGGCCATAGGCCCAGACCAAGGCCTTCAAAAAGAGGTAAAAGGTCAGAGGTTAAAGGATTTAGGCAAATTTCTGCTCTTCCTCCTTCAAAGCCTCTGCTGACATTGTTCTTCACTTTGCCTGCATTTCTCTGTCAAAAGCCTAGAACAACACACTGGCGATCTCTATCTGCTGAAACTTTTCCTTAAAGTCCATTGAAAATATCAGCATTTAAATGCAAGTTTGTTTAGTCATTGCTCCTGTCAGCAAATTCCTTTGGGGGGGGAAAATTTGCAGACAGTGTATATACTTAGTTCTTGATGAAAAACTGATTCCTTTACTAATTCTTAAAGATTATTTGCAAGCCATTACATTAAGAAGAAGAATAATAATGTATCAACCCTTTCTAGCAAGAGTAGTAAATCCAGCCTACCCCCTATTTCTGTATATAAAGTGTTATTGGAGCACAGCCACAGCTATTCATTTATTATCTGTGGCTGCTTTCAAGCTATAATGGCCGAGTTGAGTAGTTGCAATAGAAAAAGTATGTCACATAAAGCCTAAAATATTTACTATCTGACCCTTTGCAGAAAACGTTCGCCAATCCCTGTTTTGTGATGTGCCAAATATTATCCTAATTGTCATAGCCTCATTCATCATTACCAGTACCCAGTAACTATGGATACCATCCTTCTTCTAGTGGAAGAGATTGAGAAACAATGGCCAGATCAATGCTGAATCAATGGAGGAAAACAGCTCCATTAGGGACAGAATTGTTATTAAATTTATATCCTTGAAATTTTTAGAAAGAGGATGATCTCTTGAAATCTTTCCAAATATTGTTACCTTTTTAAAACAATAAATAGTTCATTTCCAGAGTCTGAGATTGACTAAGGGAGACTCATCCAATCTCTTATTTTGCCTCCATACATCCTGAAACGTGAAACTATCCCAAACAAACAGTCTGGGATAGCTTGTTCCAAACTATGACCCATAAACTACCTGCATTAGAACAGCCCAGGGAGCTTACAGAAGGGCAGGTTCCTGGATTTAAATGTAACAGTAATTCAAACCAGCTGAATTGGAATTTCGGATGGAATCTCCAGTCTTGATAAGCTCCCTAGAAGATTCTTGGGCACATTAAATTTAGGAACCATTCGTTTGAGTTCTCTCCAAAAATAAATAAATAAATAAAGTTGCTTTTAGAGATTAGCCCATGACGTTTTCCATACATCAGGGCCAAATTCCTCCTGAGGTTCAGCCCTGGTGCCTTTTGCTATAGTCTACGATGTTAGCTGGTTATCACCCTCTTCCCAAATCTCTCCCTGTGGTCCCCTTACTAACTGGTCCCCTTACTAACCTTTCACTTTAATTCTCCTCCATATGGTATCTCCTTGATTTTCCTATCTAAACCCAATCACATTTGTTCTTTACAGAAAAATAAAGATATTTTTCAAATAAAACTCTTGGACCATGATTTGTGACAAATTTTCAAATAAAGAACATTTCTAACACTAAACCCAGACAGAATCCAGCATTCACATTATAAGGATGGCAAAGGTAGATTCTTCCTGCTCACTGGTCTTTCATCCTGAAAGCTACTGTTGCTGACCCACACCCCCCAGTGCAGAGCTGTTGGCTATTTCCCAGGAGGCAGATGTTTACATAGAACACAACTCACTTTCTTGTCCAGTCTGCCTTAGGAGCAGATCACAAACCCATGAGGTATAAAATAAAATTAAATTAAATTAAAAATAAATTAAAAATAGAGAAGAACATACCATGTTCATGGATTGGTAGAATCAACATCATCAAAATGTCCATACTACCCAAAGCAATCTATAGATTCAATGCACTCCCCATTAAAATACCAACAGCATATTTCACAGATCTAGAAAAGAACGCTCCAAAACTTCATCTGGAATTAAAAAAAAAAAAAAAAACCCGAATAGCTGCTGCAATCCTGAGAAAGAAGAACATAGTAAGAGGGATCTCAATACCAGATATCAAGCTGTATTACAAAGCCACTGTTCTCAAAACTGGCTGGTACTGGCACAAGAACAGACATATAGACCTCCATATAGAGAACCCAGAAATTGAATAGAATAGAGAACCCAGAAATCGACCCAAACCACTATCCTCAATTAATATTTGACAAAGGAGGCAAGAACATACAATGGAGTCAAGACAGTCTCTTCAATAAATGGTGCTGGAAAATTTGGTCAGACACATGCAAAAAAATGAAACTAGACCACCAACTTACACCATACACAAAAACAAACTCAAAATGGATAAAGGACTTAAACGTAAGACGGGAAACCATAATAATATTAGAGGAATCCTCAGGTAGCAAAATCTCAGATATATGCCGAAGGTATTTCTTCTCTGACACAGCTCCTAGGGCAATGGAAACTAAAGGGAAAATAAACAAATGGGACTATATCAAAATAAAAAGCTTCTGCACAGCAAAAGAAACCATCAACAAAACAACAAGAAAACCTACTGCATCGGAGAACATATTTGCCAATGTTATCTCTCCAATAAAGGTTTAATCTCCAACATTTATAGGGAACTCATACAACTTAACAAAAGGAAGATAAACAACCCAATAAAAAAATGGGCAACAGACCTAAATAGACACTTTTTGAAAAAGGACATACATAAGGCTGAGAGACATATGAAAACATGCTCCAAGTAACTAATCATCCAAGAGATGCAAATCAAAACGACAATGAGGTACCATCTCACACCTGTCAGAATTGCTATCATCAAAAAATCAACAAATGACAAATGCTGGCGAGTATGCGGAGAAAAAGGAACCCTCGTTCAGTGCTGATGGGAATGCAAACTGGTGCAGCCACTGTGGAGAACAGTATGGAGTTTCCTCAAAAAACTAAAAATGGAACTTCCATTTGACCCAGGGATCCCACTTCTAGGAATATATCCCAAGAAACCAGAAACACCAATCAGAAAGGATATATGCACCCAGATGTTCATAGCAGCACAATTTACAATAGCTAAGATTTGGAATCAGCCCAAGTGCCCATCAGCAGATGAATGGATTAAAAAACTTAGGCACATCTACACAATGGAATACTATGCAGCTGTAAAAAGGAAGGAACTCCTACCATTTGCAACAGCATGGATGAAGCTGGAGAGCATTATGCTAAGTGAAATAAGTCAGTCAGAGAAAGATAAATATCACATGCTCTCACTCATTTGTGGATTATAATGAACAACAAAAACTGATGAACAAAAACAGATATAGAGACAGAGAAGCATTGATCAGATGCTCAAAACTCAGAGGGAAGATAGGGGAGGGTGGGGGTGAGAGGGAGAGATCAACCAAAGGACTTGTATGCATACATATAGGCATAAGTGATGGATGTGGACAACAGGGGGTGAGGGCAGGATTGGGGGGAAGAGAGGACATTGGGGGGATAAGGACACATTTGTAATATCTTAATCAATAAAGGGGGGGAAAGTCAAAGTATGAAAAAAAATTTTATTTTTATTTTTATTTTATTTTTTATTTGTATTTTATTTTTATTTTATTTTTTTATTTTTATTTTAAATTTTTTAAATTAAATAAAATAGAAATAAAATAAAAAATTAAATTAAAATAAAATAAAAAT